TCTGCTTTTTAAATTAACACGACAACTAAACTCTTATTTCTGGTTTCTTGTTGTTAACCATTTAAATTGTTTCTGCTTTTCTACCAAAATATATTATGACATGTCAGATATAATCCCAGAACTACAAAAGAGCATCCATATACCATAGAGATGACAGCACATACATGTTTTAAATTTTTAATGTTTTATTTGATAAATATTGAGTGTCAGGCTCTGTGTAAATAGTGCAAAATGGCTTTCAGAAAGACTATATGTTTATAAACTTTCACTGGCAGTGTAAGCATGTCTTCATTCCTCTAAATCTTGCACTTAAACATTTTTTTGTTAATATAAAAATAGTATCTCAAAGTAATAGAAATTTATTTGATTTGTGATGAAGTTCAGTATTTTTTGTATTAGCTATTTGTATATGCTGTTTATGAATTATATTTTCAGGGCCTCTGTCCATTTTTCTGTTGGTATCTAACTTTTTAAAGTTATCTGAATAATTTTTATGGTATGAAATACTCTGTTGAATTTTATTGTGTCATAGTTGCTGAAAAATTTCCTCAAAATATGTTTGCCCTTTAACTTTATAATCACTTTTCTTGACATATTAAAGTTGAGAAATCTTATGCACTCAAGTTAATCAGGCCTTGTATTTTTTTCTGTTAATTTCATATGTAGAATACTCATCCTTTTTAAGGTCTGATTTTTTTTAATAACCAATATTACAGTGTATTCACAGTCTTAAGATTTGTAGCATCTATATTTTCTTCTTAGAGTTTTCTTATGAGGTGATTTTTTTTTAAAAATTTACTTGAAATTTATTTTCACCTGAATATAAAATTTTTATTTGTAAGTAGCCAGCTAATTTTAAATCCCACTTATTAAAACTAAGCACTTGTATTTTGGTAGTCTTTCAGAACGTGTTCTTAGTATGAAAAGACAGGGAGCATTAGAGCCTTAAGGAACAACAGTGTTTTTAGGTTGTTCAGAGGAAGAAGAAGCTGAGAAGAAGAGTAATCAGAGAGGTAGAAAGGAACTTGGGGAGAGTTTCACAAAAGCCAAGAGAATTTTCTAGGCTATACTGTTCAACTGTACCTAAAGTCAAGGTAAGGGTCAGTAAGATAAGGATTTAAAATGTTCAGTAAATTTTGTAATTAAGAAATTATTGTTGATCATATGGAAAATTAATTCTGTAGGGGATTTGTATAATAGAAATGGTGCCCCTCTACTTTTTTCTTCCTTTTCTTTTCTCCCCCTCTTCTCTGTCTCCCTCCTCCTTTCCTTTCCTTTCCTTTCCTTTGCTTTGCTTTCCTTTCCTTCTCTCCCTTCTTTTTCTCCTTCCCTCCCTCCCTATTTCTTTCCTTCCTTCCCCCTTTCTTTTTCCCTTCTCTCTCTTTTTTTCTTTTCTTTTTCTTTTTTAAATTTTCTCTTCTTTCTTTTCAGAACTTTGGGCTTGTAAAGAGGAGAGAAGCTTAGACTTGAGAGACAATAGTAGGATTCATAGCCTTGGAGAGGAAGACAACACTATACTAAGGGATATTTGGAGAAATTCAAAGAGCTGTCTTCCTTTGGCAGTCATTAGTTTTATTAGCAGCAAGGATTGATTTATTCATCAACATGTCCATTGACTGGTGTATTGTTAGTGATCCACAAATATTTGTTAAATGAATAATTTTTGCTCATCCCATCTCTAATCAGAAGTGTATCATCCAAATGTAACCAATTCTGGAAGTTTAACATTTATTTTTGTTGTCTGACATTAAAAATTATGCCTGCAATAAGAAAATATATGATCTTCTAGGGCTAGGGGTTCTCACACTTGCCTTGCATATGAGACACCCTGGGTTGAATTTCTAGCATGAAAAAAACCTTTTAACTGTCTAAATGCTTTTTAAAAATTATTTTAAGATAAACTTACTTAATTATAATATATTCTATGTGGGTTTTTTTTGGTACTGGGGATCGAACTCAGGTCCTTGCACTTGCGAGGCAGGCAGTGGAACCACTGAGCTAAATCCCCAGCCCCTATTCTGTGTTTTTTAATAGTACTATTCATTCCTAAGGCTATCTACTTTGTCTTTTAAATTCTGCCTTGGTTATTAGTACCCTTTTTTTTTTAAACTTTGCATATATAAGAGATTTTATTTGAATTTTATGTTAGCCATAAAGTGGGAACATCTTTTTAATAAGTGATATTAACCAGGCTTTTCACTGTGACTTGTTTTGTGAACTGTACCTGTTTTTATAGTATGAACTTTTTTATTCCTTAGTGTGTGAGAGTGTCCTATGAGCCTCCTTATTTGTATAGTGAAGTTAATTTTCTTACGTTTCATTTAATGCTTCATTTAATTTCTGTAATTTAAAAGATCAGAAAGACTCATAATCAAGTTAACATATCCTACCAATTTACTTTGGTAAGACAATGAGGTTTCTGTGTCAGAGTCTCAATTTAGAAAAAGGAAAACATATGAGTCCAAAAATTATATTCTTTGGCAACAAATAAAACCTTCAACTTTTTTTGACATTTTTTTAAGGTGAATTTCTATTTCATAGACATATATGAAATATAAAATGAACTCTAAAATATATACAATATTATCTAAAGTGACTGTGCATTCTTCTTTTAGGTTGGGAAATGAAGAACATCAGCCTGAAGTTCCGATTCTTTATCACGATGTAACATCCCTTTTGCTCATCCAGATCTTAATGATGCCACAACCCTTACGCAAAGGTATGGCTTTATAACTCAGGTACTTAGATTAGGTACCACATATTATAACTAATCTAGAGATTGTAGGAACAGGTACAACATTCAGTTTGATGGGAATTTTTTTTGGTGAAAAATAGCATTTTTTTTCTATTAGTGTATGATAATCATATCCAAGAAGATGGCAGTGAAATAAAGGTACCTTTTAAAAACCTTCATTCTTTTCAGCTTTTTAGTTAACAAGAGCCAATGACATGGGGAAGACAATTGAAAACCTTTGTGTTAAAAAATTGAAATAATACATACGAAAATTTGAACAGTAGAACAAACTGTCAGCATTAATGACTTAACCCTATCTACATGCATAGATATTTCAATATAATAGTACTTACAAGTCTATTAAAAATGTGATGCCCTCTAATTTTAAACTAGTGTTAAAATTGTGACATATTAAATGCATTAATATTATATTACCAAAATTTTAATTGTTGCTGTATAATCTTCTAGTTTTCATTTGGAGACATTTAAAATATTCTGTCAGTCAGTGGTTCTGCCGCCTGCTTTGCAAGCACAAGGTCCTGAGTTCTATCCCCAGTACCAAAAAAAAAAAATTTTGTCAGATAATTAAATTTTTCATTATTGGAAAACTTTGTTTTTGTTTTTCTGTTATAAGTTTACAATAGAATAAACATCTATGGGGACAGGGATTTAGCTCAGTAGTTCTGGCACCTGCATCGCAAGCACAAGGTCTTGAGTTCGATCTCTGATACCAAAACAAAACAAAATCTATGGATTTATAAAGGCATTGTTCCTGGGGAAGACATTCTTTATATGTACTTCAGCTTGATCATTTGATAAAACATTTACCTAATGGTTTGAAATGATCATTTAAATACAGAAAAATTACAATGTTTTGTAAATTATAATCTGTAGAGTAAAATAATGTCATTAATAAGCAAACATTTTACTTTTATAAGCAATATGAACTTTGAATTAGTATTTTTTTAATTGTACAGTTGATACAATGTAAAATTTACTCTTTATACAATTATAAGGTATACAATTGCAGTGACATTTAGTACAGTCACAATATTGTGCAAACATCGCCATTATCTAGTTGTAGGACATTTTCCTCAGCTTCAAAGAAACTATACTCATGAAGCAGCTGTTAAATGTTTCTTTGTTCCTCTAACTCTCAGATATTTTTTAATAGTACTTCTTTCGGGATTTGCCTGAGTATACAGATTTAATTATTTATATTTGTAGACTTTTAAAATCTATATCTGTCAACCCCATTGAAATTAATCTCTTTGCAAAATCAGTTTCAAATTCTTTAGGTTTTTTTGTGTTACATTGGTTAGTATTCCTTAGTTTGGGGAAACTGTTGGCCTGAGTGTCAAATTGGTTTACTCTTAATTGTGCTCTTT